TAGATAGATAGATAGATAGATAGATAGATAGATAGATAGATAGATAGATAGATAGGTGATGATTGATAGATGGATAGATAGACAGACAGATGGATAGATAGATGGATAGATGGATAGATGGATAGATAGATAGATAGATAGATAGATAGATTTTTTTAGAAATTATATACTAGACCACTTGAAATGTGAAGCATTTATCTTTATTGGTTTAGTTTCTGTGAACAATCAATCTCTTCCATCTCTTTAGATAAAATATTAATACTCTAAATGTGCTGTTGTTATAGTATTTAACACTAGTTTACACTAGTATCATCATTCTCAAGCTGGACTGTTAAGAAGAGGGAAACTAGACATGTTTGGGTTTTTTTCCCAAAATATACTTTTGAACATTTTCTCTCTATGGATCACACTGTGCATTTCATCGTTCCATCTCTTGTAGTCATGGAAACGATGTTACGCTTCCCTGCCGACTCGCGCAGAAATGGCGAGTAAATCAGACGCACGCTGTGATTGGCTGCCGCTCTCTCACCATACACCGTCACTCACTCACACCATTGAACCACTATGCGCACCTCGCTCGCGACCCTCCTTTCTCGACCGCTCATTGGCTGAGGACTTCAAGGGGCGGGAAAACAAGAGCTTCAGAACAGCATCAGTGTTTTGATTGGCTGCGTGGAAAGCGCTCAAGCAACAGAAGCGCGCGCTGCACAGGTTATGTATCGTCCGCTTAGCGTGTATAAATAGTGTGTCTTCAGCAGCGGCTGTCACCTCAAGAGCCGAACTCCGCTGTATAGGTAAGTCCAGTCTAACACGATATGTGTCTAGCAAGAACTTATTTAATACGGAGTTAACCTTGATCTAAATTACTGTTATTAGAAAAGTTTCACATTACAGTTTTAATGCTAGAATGACTGATCTCAATAGACTTAACCTCAAAACAGTCCAGTAATCTTGGAAGATTAAAGATAATGTAGGTAGCATGTATTTGAAACGCTCTTTTATTAATAATTATTATTAGTTGGCCTATTGTTTTAGTTAAAATATCTGTGCAAAAGTTAAAAAAAAATAAAAAATCGCCATCAATTTAATATGAAAGATTACACATTAAGATTAAACTCGGTCAGAAAAAATAAAATAAATACAAAATTAACTGATTGTGCATCTAAAGTCAGACTAGTGACTACGAATGTTAAATACTAACAGCAAAAACACGTTACTTGAATATATTTTAAATAATACTAAGCGTACATTGATTTGTACATTTTTATGGTAAACATACATTTTTGGTTATTACTTCGTCTAAAAATCAATTCGCGTTTAATAAAATGTTAAACTAGGGCATTAAATAAAATTATTTATTAGTTAAAACCGCTTTAGTCATACATTATTCAGATGAATATTAACGCGTCCCGAATATTAGGATTAGTAATAGTGCTGTCTACATTGAACGTTCGTGCGTACTACATACTGAGATGTGCGGGGTTTTAAGTACGTAGTAGGCGTCACGCGCTCCTGCGTAAGCGGAAGCTACGTCTCATCTACTGCTCGACTGCAGCAAACATCTGGCCTCATCAGCTCTCCAGACGGGACAGCTATAGAGACTAATACATGATTGTAAGGTAAGAAGGAGATCTGTATCTGAAGGGACTGGTATATGTGGGCGCCAAGTGTGCTGTTAGCGGTCTGCTAGTGACACATGTAATGTTTCAGCTCCTCTCCACTCTTATTACAACACTACAGCCTATGAGATATTCATATAATTTGCGTTTGTTAGTTATTAATAAACTAAAATTGAATCATTATTATTAAGCGAGCCATCGGAGAGCTGTTTCCACAAGCTGTTAGGAACACGACAAACTAGAACGCTTCATTTATAACACGTTATATTCGTAAACACATGTATAGTCCGTGTATTTATGCTATGATGGGATGATTAAGAGGCAAAGATTGTTACAGAAGAATGATTAGTCAAACAAGAACAACAGTTTCTATTGGTTTAGCCTAATTCGTATTGACTAAAGTCAACCAGTTGACAGAAACATTAGCTGTTTATAACCTGCATGCTATGTCTGTAAGCCTCTTTAAAGTTTGTCCCAAGATCGCATAATGCTGAAAAATGCGTTTGTTTCTGGTTATTTCTAGTGAACTCTCTTTTTTCTGTGTGTAAATAAAAGCCTACCAGTAGTGTTTACTTGTTTTGTTCCACATTGAGCGGTCAAGTGGCTGCTCTATGGAGCCATATCTATGTGGGTTAAAGGTCATGTCCTTCCCCGGATGATGAAGGGTTAATCTCATTAGAGGAGAGCAGAGCTGGCTTTGCCACGTGACTCTCACTTCCCAATGCCTGTGGCTGCACTCTTCCTCATAATTTGTCGTTATGATGTTGCACAGATGCGTTTTTATCTGCTTGGACAATTTTCTACATCTCATTTGCCATAGAGTTTATTTATACACCACCAGTCAAAAGTTTGGAATAATTAGTTGTTGTTTTTTAAGGTGTAAAAGTCTCTATGCTCACCAAGGCTGCATTTATTTGATTAAAAATACAGTAAAAGTTTCAAATATTACTATAATCTAAAATAACTGGTTTCTATGTGAATATCTGTTAAAATGTAATTTATTCCTGTGATGATGAATTTTCAGCATCATTACTCCAGTCTGCAGCACAGCAGAAATAGACTCCGTGCGGAAACGATCGTAGCATGACTGCTGCAGACGCACCGCTCCTGGAGCGCACTGCCGGACCGCAATCACGTGCAGTGTGAACGCTCTGATCCGTTACGCCCATTCACACGGGGCGTTAACGCTTGACGGAGGGCGTTTCTGAAGCTTGGTGACGCGACGGGCCCACAATTCATTTCGCCAACGCTTGACGTCACTCCATTCAAAGTAAACGAGAAGCGCTGACGCCCCGTGTGAATGGGGCGTTAACATGGGCAAGGAAAAAATACGTGTGTGAACCTGGCGTTACGTTTGTATGCCCGCCCGGTCTGTTCTGTTCTCGTGCTCCATTTAGGCGCGCTGCATTCTGATTGGTTCAGATAGCATACTGCAGGAGGTCGGGGGCGCAGAAAATCGTGCTATAAAGCGATTTAGAAATCGCGCAAGCTCAAATCGCGATTTTATGACGATTTCGAT